GTGTTCCAGTACAGTAGTTCGTAGAAATTCTCAATGCCCAGAAGTCGTTTATAATATTATGTGGTGGAATAATTCAATCCATCCTGAGCTTTTCTTTTACAGAATCCCTCAATGGTGGCATCTTCCACAAAAAGCTCACTAGCCAGTTCCAACCACTAGTTGTGCGATATACTGATTTGATGGAACACTCAATATCTCAGTCTATAGATAAGGGATTTTCGAAGGAGAAATGGGAACCAAGAAAGTGAGCGTTTTTTATATTTGTTTTTGGTCGGTTGGTCGAACCTCTGTGCATACTCAGTCAGTCACGTTTTTGTTATCTTTCCCAGTAAATTTGCAGTCAGATCTCTTGAATATTATTCGTTTGACCGGTAGATCAATGAATTTTTAAGATATTTTTTATTGAATTTTTAGAGAAGGATGTGCTACATCAGAAGACATCTATTGGAAGCTAGATGCGCTTCAAACCTTCGTGAGCGATCTGAACTGGCCCGAGGAAGAATTCCGCAAATACCTAAACGTCCGCATGAAGAGCCTTACTTCCGACATGATCTCCAAAGTAGCCAGCAGGCAAGTTTTTCTTTTCAACCGTGGTAATTAAGAGCTTTAAATGATCAAGGTATTGCAGTACTTACCAGCAATTTGATGGCTGGATGCAGAGAGCACGAAAATCGACAGATTACATTTTGCCTTCAGAAGTATGCGTAATGATCAATGTTCTGTTCAGCTCAAAGGCAAGAGCCACAAAAACAGCTGTGGATGGTGGAGAGGTGATTTTTTTATCCTTTAAAGATGCCTTAAACTAGCCATCTCGTCATAGGTTTATGTTTAATTAGCCAAAAAGATTCTTTATTTGCTTTTAAAACATATTTCAAGTTCAAGTATCAGTCGAAATTGGATGAAACCTTGGACACTATGCTTTCCGATATGGAGACATGTATCCAAGACAAGTTAATAGGTGTATTGGAATTTGTGCTTGGAAAACTCGCTCGCTATGATGAAGGTAATCCGATTGGAGCACTACTTAGCATGGCGGTAAGTTAATCTTACTTTAGTTTTTGACTGACTTCATCCTGCTGAATGATGAGGTTAGAAGTTAGTTTGCTTTAGCCTAAACCAACCTCAATATTCAACAAGATGAAAACAATGGTAGGAGAACAAGGTATTCACATGGGAGGAAATGCCGCTGCAACACCAACGACACCTCAAAACCAGGTATACTCTCAAAATATACGCGCTCAGGTTTCTGTTTTTATGCTTTTTTCAAGAAGGCTCCTGTTTCTCAACAGCAATCGACAGGACATTTTGGAAACTCGTATGTGACATTCATGCGCGGCTGTACAGAACAACTGAGGCAAA